TTTCAACTGACGGCAGTGAAGACGCCTCGTTTTTTGGGTAAGCTACACAAGAACTGCATTTGCTGTCTTTGCTAAACTTCTACATTACTTTAATAACAGTAAAATTAGACAACATTTCAGGAGAAGATGCCGAATCGACAAGAAGTGAATATTTGTTTCCATATTTTTAAAAGCACCAAATAGTGTCATAGAGCGCAAACGTTCAGAATTTACTCCTCTTTCGCCCTATATGATAATGCTACGATCGGATTTGTAGGATATTAAAACTCGATTCTTCGGTCGGTAGTAGTTTTAATTTCCTCACAGAGCAGACATAGTGGTCGGCTGGCATTTGGCTTCCGTGCCAGGTGCTAATTCTTTTCCTGCGTCATAGGGAACCCACGCTCTTGTTTGTAAACTGCAAACGGAAATTAAATGAGAGATAAAATCTTACCTGTTTTGTTCTATTCTTGAATCTGCTGTGGTGCGAAGTGAAATGGAAGTTGTTTTACGATGCGAAAACGTATGTTCAAGTCGACGCTTTAAAATAACCGTTGTTGATTTCACAATGCTTTTTGTGGTTTGGATCTCATTTCACCGTTGGTGTCACGCGCCGGTTGTTATTATCGTTTCGCGTTTCATTGTTGGTTATTAATTTATTAACAATTCGGGAGAGAGTAAGAGTAAAGAGACAAGCGATGAAATTAATTTGAGGACCGATTTATTTTCAAGCCGTACTCAAGTATGAAAAATTTGACCGTACACTTCGTTCACACGGGACTGTCAATATTTTCGTTTTGTTCACACGGAACTTTGAACGGCGAGGCGTCTAAATTTCGTACGATTAGGGTGGTTCTGTGTGAACCGCGGGATACCTAAGCGCACGAATTTTCAACCGGTCGAGATTACGTCCGGTCCCTTGTGAACGTAGCCTGACGATATTTTGATTTTTCAGATAATATATAGATTTAGCCAGGGCTAGAAACGAAGCTCCCATTAATAAATTTATAATTTCAATCAAACACTAAACTTGTATTCACAAGTCAGTTAACTTTAGAGCACATTCATATGACTTTTGAGGGAAAGGCTAAGTGATTTCAGAGAAACATTATTTGCAAACAGTCCACGAGTGAACCAAATCTCACATGGAGCTGATAGCCTTATATGTGTCTTCGATCACATTTAAGAGCCATAATGGCTCTTGATCACAGTAGATTAGGCCTGGAAAACAAATTCTGGGAAACAAATCAGGCCGAATTTTTTGCGTTTGACTAGTTTACTTTACAAAATCTTGCCAACAAATCTGGGGACGTGTAAACCAACGTTTTATACATTTGTATATCTAATCTGAAGTCAAACAGTACTATGAGGCGCTGTTTTTAATCGTACAGACCAGACCTCGGACAAAATGCAGTATTTCACAATTTTGCAATACAAATTGCACTCATTCCTTATTCAGGACGATCGAAGCACGCGTGGGCTTTCAGCGAAACCGTTAAATTTCCAAAATCACCAATACGGCCAGCCGATTCTTACTTTTGACAAGCGCCATATTTGCAGTGCGAGCTGTGTAGAGTGTTTGATTAAACATTAATAGAGTTACGCCTCAACATAATGAAGAATTTATTAAGTATATTTTTTATCTTAGGGTTTTATAACGATGTGTAATCTTCAAAAGCGTTTGATACGCGCGGCATTTTCGGAGTACTCCTGCAAGCGATGTTCATGAACGACTAGAAACAAACGGCACAACGAATGACTAAAATTGCAAGCGAGACTACTTTTAATCAAGAAAAGAAATATAATTCGGTGAAACATATACAGAGACAACAATTTTCATTCACGAAGACAAGTATTAAAGTGTCTCTAAAAATCCTGAGTGTTCGAGCTTAAAGCTTAAGTTTAAGTTGTAAGCCGGCTTCTTGGTGTTTGCTTGTTACAAAGATGAACTCGAGGCAAGAAAATCGCTCAAAGCCTTCTTTTACAGCCAGAATTATAACTAAATATTCTTTGGCACGTTTTCTTTCTATTTACGGTGAGAAAATGTTTAAAGGCTTTTTAAAGTTCTGTAAGCTTATCTTAAACCTAATACTCGGTCAGATTATTGTTTCAAATCTTACAAACGTGCATAAACCAAATAGCCGCATAAACTACGCTCGAATTCATTAAATTAGATATAAAAAAACAAACATCAAATACAATGATTACTTAGGCTTACCATTCGAGATGCAGCTCATAAAAGCTATCAAGCAAGGCCAGAATCACTCTTTCAACCCTCTTACGCATCAAGCAAGGTGGAAAACGAAAACGATGATATCCGAAATCGTATTTCCGACTTTGACAAGCGACGTATTACTCAACCAAAAACCCAATAAACAAACTAGCCATCAATAACAGAGGACTCTTGATAGCAGCTGAATTTCAATTTATACATCCAGTGGGAAGAGACAGTTAAAAACAACACAAGTTGACACAAAACTCTGTCAGATTCAGATGTCAAAGTAAACAAGTTTCAAGATGGTGCATAATTTTTCCGCATGAACTCACCTATCAAATTTTCACCAATCAGAGCATAAAAATTGGACGTAGAGCGTGACAAACGCGCCACCATGGTGAGAAAAAGTCACCAAGTCCCCACCACGGCCCACCAAAAAAACTTTATGAATATAATTATGTTTTCGCTCTTTCAAACAAGATGCTGCTTATTTATCCTTCAACGGACAAAGATAAAGAGTCCACTAGGTGCTTGATTATTATTAAGTTAATGTTTACCCACGTTGACATGTCACAAATGAAAACTGCGAAAGAAGTCTCGTTCAGATTTTTCTATTCATTTCTTGGTAAATTCTCAAGATATCGGTGCTGCCAAAAACAAGAAGTATATGTGGGTACTAAAAGTAGTGTTGGTCTCCTTTATTTTGTAATATTTGTTTTCTCTAAATTGGTAATTATTCGTTATCATTCCCTGTGGACACATTTCAGACGTTTTGCGGTCATACCAAACCACCTTTTAGGGGCACTGAAATAACGTGTAACATGATGCCAGACCAATTTTTTTAAATATACAAAAGCCAAAGCCGACAAAATGAAGAAATCGAAATGAATGTACGCATTTAAAGTTTTACAATTTCATCAAGTGAAAGCCGAAATCTTTCAATGTCATCAAACGTTGGTTTAAACAGAACACTTAATTTTGAACTGACGTGCTTGTCAAATATACTTTGGTTTTTCCATGGAAACATCGTCTGTCATTGACAGAGTCAGAAGTTTGTTTTTGCAACTGAGTTTCATAAGTCGATTCTCCACTAGAAGCTAGTTAGAGATATTCACAGTTTGGAAATTTAACTCTACCAGCAACACAGATAACTTGTCTCTTCTTGCCTCCTGTCCTAAATTCAATAAAAAAATCGCATTCACAAGGTACGTTTCCTATTAGATACCAGCTTAAAATAATCATTTTGCTATCTTTTGGTTAATGTTTAGGTCAAAAGATTTGTCTTCGCTTCGCGCAGTGTAATTAAGTAAGTAAGTAATCTGTAATTCATGTCCAACGTAGCTTACAACTGAAGGCACTAGGAAGACTCCTCGTTTCATGGGTAGGTTACAGGACCTTACACAAGAAGTCAATTGTTGTCTTTGCTAAACTTCTGCATTATTTTAAATTAATGACTGTAAAATAAGACAACATTTCAGGAAAAGGAAAAGACATTGAATCGACAAAAATTAAGTGAATATTTGTTTCCATATTTTAGGCACCAAATAGTTGCAAGGAGCTGAAACGTACTCTTCTTTCGCCCTATATGATAATGCTATGATTGGATTTGGACGATATTAAAACTCGATTCTTCCGTCGGTAGCAGTTTTAATTTCCTCACAGGAGCGACATAGTAGTCTCCTGGCTATTAGCTTCCGAGCCAGGTGTTTTTTTCCTGCATAAATAGTCTTAAGGACCTGTCTTAATTCAAGGCGAAGCGGAACTCAAAATTAACCTTTTAAGTTATTATACGCGTTCGTTAAAAATCCTAGAAGTTGACCTTTAAATAACTGGTGTCTATTTACCGTGAATTCTATCACAAGTTGTGCTTTCTCAGCCCAGTATAAGCAAGTATAGAAAATTAGGCTTTCATGCCATTCGATTACTTGTAAAAATATTGCTCTGAATTCCCGTCAGTCGACGACAGTTTGCTTTCACTTGGCAAATAAGGGCGTAAATTATTAGCATAAACTGAGCGATCTTTATTTTTCTGAGCGTTAATTGAACCAAAATTAAAACAGTTTATCTTTTGTAATAGTCCACATTCTACCTTACCTTTGGAATTATTCAAGTAAGTGACATTTTTCTTTTATTGTGCTTTCATGAAGCGTNCGAGCCAGGTGTTTTTTTCCTGCATAAATAGTCTTAAGGACCTGTCTTAATTCAAGGCGAAGCGGAACTCAAAATTAACCTTTTAAGTTATTATACGCGTTCGTTAAAAATCCTAGAAGTTGACCTTTAAATAACTGGTGTCTATTTACCGTGAATTCTATCACAAGTTGTGCTTTCTCAGCCCAGTATAAGCAAGTATAGAAAATTAGGCTTTCATGCCATTCGATTACTTGTAAAAATATTGCTCTGAATTCCCGTCAGTCGACGACAGTTTGCTTTCACTTGGCAAATAAGGGCGTAAATTATTAGCATAAACTGAGCGATCTTTATTTTTCTGAGCGTTAATTGAACCAAAATTAAAACAGTTTATCTTTTGTAATAGTCCACATTCTACCTTACCTTTGGAATTATTCAAGTAAGTGACATTTTTCTTTTATTGTGCTTTCATGAAGCGTCTTGACAAATCTCAAAAAAACATGTTCAGTTATTGCTACAATCACCTCCCGTGAAAGCATTATAACAGCATATGGCATGGTTCCGGAACAATCACCGCGCGAAAGTTGATTAAAAATTTGCAACAGAAGAATATTAAAAGATACATATATCAGGGTTGAAAAGACTTATATTCAGTCAAACATTTCTATCATATTTCAGAATGTTTTCTCCATCCAGACCCGAGTGCTTCACCTGGCTTAGTCTACTGATAACAGAAAGCATCATCATAGTAACTTTCAATGTCGTCACTATAATCATTTTTATGAGAAACCGCAGTCTACGCACACGTGGTATGTACTTGGTGATAAACTTAGCCGTTGCAGATGCAATGTCGGGGGGATTTTCTGAGTGTATGCTTTTTGTCTACCTTGGAGGATGGTGTGACTTCTGGAAGTTCAACCTGACTGGGGACCGGCGAAAACTATCTGTGGCTATGGAACTGTTATTTCCCGTTTCTTCCATCTCAGGCATAGTTGCGATTTCTATACAACAGCTGCACGCCATATTCCGTCCGTTTCAACATCGCGTGGTCAAGAAGAGGGTGTACGGTGTAGCAATTGCGATTGTGTGGATTGCAGCGGCATTGATATCGACATTGCAACATCTCAAAATTAATTATCTGACCCTTTGGATATCTTTCACTTCCATTTGCCTCTTCATTATTTGCGTCTCTTACACTATGACGGCTTTGAAATTTTTTCGTGGAAGGAACGTTCAACACCATGGTGCATCTATCAGGGACAGAAAACTGACCGTGACATTGGTCATTGTGACACTGGTATCTTTACTTTTGTGGTTACCGTATGTTATATGCTCTTTTCTTTTGATCACTTCTGCCAACTTTCGCTCCCTGCCTGATCAATTACTCTTTCGTCTTAATTTTTCATTAATTGTACTGTACTACGCAAACTCTCTTGTAAATCCCATTCTGTACGCGATTCGAATGCCAGAGTTCAAACGAGCATTGATTTCACTATTGCGATGTCAGGGAAACCAAGTAGCTGTAGCAGTTCTTGCTGCCCGAGGGAATAAGATGACCTTCGCAAGGAGTCGCTCTCAAAACCAAAGTACAGTTGTAACGTAATTATTGTAATTGCTACCAAGAACCATCAAGCATTGACCTCCATGCTGGGAAGTCGCGAGAAGGCACGCGTGAGCAGCACACGAGGGGAGACACGGGAGCGAGAGGCGGGAAAAGAATTCAAAGAGAGGTTTGACAAATATTCATTTCCATCTCGCAAACCGCAAAGCGTGGAAACTGTCACCGGCAACAAGAAAAGCTTCAGCTAACTGAAAGTTACTCTATCTCTTTATCTCTCTCTCCGGGAAACATAACCTGAGTGCGGTAAACCCCCGTTAATACGGACGCTAAAGGAGCCATAGAAAGTGTCCGTATTAACGGGGTGTCCGTATAAAGCGGGTTGAATTTAAACAAATGTAAGGGCTTTCTTTCCCCAGGGACAAAGCAAACTGTCCATGTTAAGCGGGTGTCCGTAAGGCGGAGTTTGACTGTATCAATCTCTCCTTAGAGGTTAGGGTAGAGGCGATCTTGAGGTGGAAATTGACGGCCTTTTTCTTTTGTGGTCATTGTGGTCTTCCAGTCATCACCAGTTTCGTTCTTTGAAAAATAATACTTTTAGACGCCAGTGGATAAACTCGCTTGCGTTTACCGGGAGATACCACAAGAGCTTGGGAGTGTGTTAGCAATAAAGCAATCCCTCGACGACTTACTCAGGCTAAAGCCCTGGGTAAGTTGACAAAATATTCCCAATACAGAGAGGAGGAAAAAATGTTTAATGAGTGTTCTTTTCTTGGACAGTTGAGTCCTGAATGAACAGTAATAACTCATTTCTTATGTAGTACATAATTGACTCTTGACCATTCTCATGAAGTACAGATTGATTCTTATCTAGTACATAATAGATTCTCATGTGTACACAATCAAGAGAGGATGACATAATTACTGCGGCGGAGCGCGAAGTAAAGGATTCGCGATGCTCAGGAATGTATCAAAGTTGCCATTTTTTGACAAGATTGGGCAAGCACAGTCTGCAGGTTTTCGGTTCTATTCGGCTATTTGACGAAGTGAGAGCCGAATTAGTTCGAGATATCTCGAGATCACTTCGATTTCTTTGATTTATTCTTTAACTTTTTCGAGGAAGAAAGAATTATTATTTTGGCTTTCCCGGGGTTTGAACCAACTCACCTGTGTGACCCGTCAGATCAGAGGAGACTCTGAGTTGAGGGATTAGCCGATTGCGCTACTGCGACCCAAGGTAGTTTGGGATATGAAAAATGTTATGAAACGATGCACTAGTTTCGGGACAAGATTGGGCGTGCAAGTTCGTGACTTTTCGGCTTGTTTCAACTAATTCACGAAATGAGATCGGACTACTTCGTGATATCTTGAGATCACTTCGAGTTTGTCTTTAACTACTCGAGGAATAAATAGAGGATACTTCGTGGCCGCGCAGAGACACGAAATTTCTCTTCGAGTGTTGAAAAACATTTCACAAGTGAGCCCTCCTTTCGAAGTGCTTTCATGCGTTGCGTGACTTTCTCGAACGTTCTCTACGTTTTTGGATTATTCATGAATAATTAATTAGGGCATGTTTACATTTCAGCATGAGTCAGCAGATTTGGATCAGTTACTGGAATCATAAAATATGTCGAAAAGCTTCTACTATTCGCCTGTTTAGTATTTTCTAGAACCTTATGTCAAACGGTATACAAGTTGCAAGCGAGTTCTTTTGACGAACTAAGTTTTTTCCCGCGAGCTAGACTGCTGTGTCTAGGCAAGTGTGACGAAGGTCGATTTTCAGGTTCTGTGTTTAGAAGTTCACGGAAACCGTAAGATATCTGAAGTTCAAGTGAGAGTTTGTTATTATTGGTAGAGGCTGTTTAGTTTTACTCAAAGTTCAAGTCAAGTTTGTGTTGGCGGATGCTGTGTTTTAAAGCTCTGTAAAGGCTATGTTCCTTTGGTGTTAAACTTCCTTGTGTTAATCCGACATCCCTGTGTGCTGATAGTCAGTGAATAATTATCCTCAAAACATTCGAACTCGTGACTTTGAGTTTTAGCCAATTCCATGCTCAACGTAATGGACTCCTTACCCATGCCTTACATATCTTTAATCAGTACATGACACTGCTATGCTGTTTTTGAATCCTGATGGGACTAAGAAAAATAGAGAATTGTTTTTTTAGAAGGATTTGTATGGAGTCATCAGAGAATAACTGGGCTAATATCTCGGAGACAATTTGTCCCGAAATGCTAGTTTTTGGCAAGTAGGCCTCTTGGATGCTGCTCTTTTCAGAATATCCTGACAAATCCCATAATTTCACAAATTAACACCTTACTCTTACCATATTTGATTTCTTACTACTCCTCCGCATTTACAATTAATTAGTTCCACAACCACAACGCCGAAGTGTACGCTCCGTAGCGTCTTGTTGATTGTTATTTATTTATTCATAATTGATTAATTATTACAATTATTTAGTCAATGTTTCCCTACATTGAGTCAATGTTTGCCCACATTGACATGCTGCCAATCAAAATTTCGAATGTAATCTTGTTTAAATTTATGTTTTCAGCTCTTAGTAGATTCTCAAAATTATTATGTGTCACTTAAACAAGTAGTATAATTGGGTGCTAAGAAAAATGTTGTTCTCGTTTTCTTCGTAATATTTGTTTTATGCAAATTGGTTATTGTTCGCTAGCATTCCCTACCACGTAAAGGTATGACATTATGATGCGGTCAGGTATTGCCCCCACAGAATAAAATAGCATGGGAATAGAATGTTCACATTTAAAAGAGCTGTGTCACGAAATTCAGCCAAATTAGGAAATTACAAAATGCCCGTTAAATTAAGAGAAACATAAAAATAACCGCATCAAACTTTAAAGGAAGGTTAAAATAACATAACAAAAACAGCAGATACCACGGATAGGCAAAACTGAAGAAGATTGAAACGGATTGAAATTAGGGTTTTTGAAAACTGTTCAGCCTAACAGTTTTTCAAAGTTGGTCCCTGCTGCTTGCAACTTCAAAAATAATGCTCAGGAGACATATTTGTTTGTCTCGGATCTCTGATTTTGTCATTTACATATAATTTCTTTGCTTACTTTAAGTTCCATAGCGATTGAGGGCGAGTAATTGGCAAAATTAAACAAAATGAACTGGACTGCCGTGACACAGCCCATTAAAAAGAATAGTCTTTACTAATGATAAGAATTTTGTTCAAGCAGAACAGTATAGAGGTGCAGAAGAGAAAAAAAAGAAAGAAGAAAAAAGTAACAAGAAAAATATACGCTCTTCGTAATATCTGTTCTCTGCAAATTAGTTACTATTCGCTATCATTCCCTCTGGGCACATTATGTAGTCTGCCCAGACCAAAGCATACTTTATTTGCAATGAAATAATGTGTATAGCACGATGTCGTAATAGTAATGTTTTTCGTCTATAAAAGCCTAAGCCGTTAAAATTAGTGTCAAATCAAAATGAATTTATAAGAAGTTTAAACGTTTCTAAGAGCGAATGGCGAATTCTTTCAATATCCATCAAACGCTGGATTAAACAGAAGACTTAATTTTGAATTGACATGCTTGTCAAATATACGTTTGTTTTTGCCATGGAAACATCGCCTGTCGTTGACAAAGTTCTTCAACTGGGTTTCAAAAGTCAAACCTCTTCTAGAAGCTAGAGATATTCACAGTTTGGAAATTTAACTCTACCAGCGAAACAGATAACCCAGATCGTCACTCTTGCTTCCTGTCCTAAATTCAATAAAAAATATCGCATCCCAGAAGGTAAGTTTCCTCTTAGATGCCAGCTTAAAAGAATCAACTTGTTACCTTTTGGTTATTAATGTTCAAGAGAAAGAAGATTTTTCTTTGCTTCGCAGTGTTGACTGCGGGAAAGAAAGTAATATGTAATTCCCATGCAACCTGGCTTAAAACTCAGAAGAGGTTAAGGTTACACAAGAATTACACATTCAAGAACCGCATTTCTGTCATTGCTTAACTTCTACATTTTTTTTTTTAATAACAGTAAATTAAGACAGCATTGCAAAAGGAAAAGACGCCGAAATGACAAAAAGTTAATATTCGTGTCCATATTTTGAGCACCAAATGGTGGCATGGAGCAGAAACTTTTCATAATTT